TCGACTGCATATGCAAAACTATAAATACAGTAGAGCGCCGATTATCCGAACCCTTATTATCCGAACTGCGTCTAAATTTTTTTTTTTCTTTAAGTTTAGAATAATTTTTAACTTACTGACAATTTTTCTAAATTGAGAAGAATAAATAATACCCCTACATCTGAAGACCACATTTAATTTACAACCTTTTTAGCAGTTTTCTTATAGTAGCCATTCGTACATGTATTGTGATACAGTTAAACCTACATACCCCTTTACAACAGAAAATTATCTTTCAAGAATGCAAGCTTCATTTTGATAGTCTACAATGGTTGGAATGCAGAAGGAGTTTATGAATTGATAAGTTCTGAAGTTCTATAATTGGGGAATGGGTAGTTGTAACTTATGGTTAATAATTAGTGATTACAGTGCTTGGAATCTTAAATCTTGGAATAAAATTCTTAACAGAAAAACAAACGAAACTGAAGTTTCTGAACCAGTAGATCTTTCGGATGAAAATGACGATTGCTGCTGAAATTTTGAATGAAAATCGGAACTCTACAGACGAAGTGAAAGAAGTAGGTGATCAAGTTCAAGATAGTGAACCTTCTCATATAGAAGCATGCAATCCATAAGATTTCGCAGTGAATTGGCTAGAACGTCAAAATGATGTTGATCCAGTTCAGTTGATTTATTTAAAAAGAATAAGGGATAAATGGCTGCTAAAAAAAAACGCGTCTTCTTTGAAAAGAGATCTTTGCTGGATTTCTTTTGCAATGGAAAATAATGAAAAATGTTATAAAATTAGTAATTGACAAAAAAATTATAAAAAACTGAAATATGATAAAAAATAATTCAAAATGAAAAAAAAAAGATTAAAAAAAAATTTAATTAAAAATATTTAAAAATTGAAAAAGGAAAAAAATTTTAAACACGCCAGAGCTATTTTAGATAGTACTGCCAGTCTTAAGCCTACAAAAGGTGCGAAGTTAATGCACAAATAATAATCATTTATACTAGATTTTAAACAACTTTCCAATTATCCGAACTTTTCATTATCCAAACTATGTTCGGTCCTGAGCAGTTTGGATAATCGGCGCTCTACTGTACTTCATAAATAATAAAGATATACTTTGTACACATATTATTAACTAGATTGCTCAGTTCAATTTTTAAAACAAATTAATGATGTTAAAATAAAGAATAACTAAATTAGTTGCTAAATTAAAATATAAACAAAATTTACAGCGATCTTTGGACACAAAATTATTTTTTTCACAGCAGCCCTTCCCCAAAAATGCTTGTCTACCCTTACTTACATGTTTCACCACATTTGAAACAGTTTCTAAGTGACAAGACTTCAAATATTGCATTTATAATAAAAAAAATATCATTTATACGAATCAGTTAGAAGCAATAAATCAAAGATTATTAAAAAATAATTTATTAAGCACATTGGAAAAATTTTATACAGCTGGAAAACAAATGTATCATAGAAAAAATAACAATAGTAAAAGAATGATAATGTCATTTAATTTGTACATTTCAATATGAATTATTACTTTTATTTAAAAGTGAATATTAAACAAAAATACATATTAACCAAGAAAAACAATTTAAACATTTGTGAATAGATTTCACTGTCAAAGAAGATTTTTAATTAACATAATCAGAATAATTATTGATAATTTAATAAACATTAATAATTAATCACATAGATATTATTGTAATTATCTTGAAATAGAGTTAAATGCAAAAGAAAATGTTTACAAAGAAACTGGAAGAAAGGAATGTTATTAAGTTATTGTAACAGAATAAATAAATATTGCAACAAAATTAAAATTTTTTTTAATACATGATAATTTTGTTTTCAAGGGACCATTCAAATATTGTGTAAGCATGTTTGTGGCAATTTTGAACTTCCCCTACCCTTTATCAACAAATAACAAGTCCCCTCCCAAGCCTATGTAAGAGAGTTACAACACCCCAATTTAAGCTTTAATTTTAACTACTACTAATACTGTAATTTTAGGTTTAAATTCAAATAAAAGATATAACTTTACAGAAAACTAAATCTACATTTCAATACATTTTATAAAATTTTGAGTAGAATAGCCCTTAGAAATCTTTTGTTTTCCTTCTCTGCTCATAACCTTTAATTTTGGAAGTTGCTAAATGAATTTTTCTTTCTACTTATTCACTCACCAAATTTAATTTCAATTCTGAAAATTTTCAAAGTGCATATTTTTTTCTTCCATTTTTAACAAATTTTGAAAATAAGAAGATTTTAATGTCTTATCCTAGCATAGCTCATTTCTTTCCTCCCGAGTTGTCAGCATATATGATAAAATTACAGACCTCCTGTTAATAACATTTCTCAATATTAATAATAATAATTTCTAAAGTCCAACAGAAGGAGATCTGCAGAGTAATGTAAAAGGATTAATAGTACTCAGTTTCCTCTATGGCCCTGTACCAGGGCTAAAAAAAATCAGAAATTTTACCCGTCCCCGAGGACGGCTTGCCCAACAATGTACCCGTCCTCCTTTGAAACTAACCCGTCGCTTCTAAATAAATAAAAATATAATTTTCTCTTATTTATTACAAACATTTATTATAATTTTCTCTTATTTATTACTAACATTTATATAAATTTCACAATGAATTAGTAGTTACTTGTAGTATTATACAGTAATAAACGAAATACTAGGTTAATAATAGTAACCTAGTATTTCTTTCATTAAATAATTTAAATGACAAAGGTCAAGTTATCTGGAATGTCAATTTATCCGAGGGTACTGCGTTTTTTAAATGAATCAAATATGACGTTTGCCAGTTCTACAATCAAGCCAATGATTTACAGAGGTTTCTGCACAGAAATCTGAAAGGGGTTTTCCATTTAGGTAGATGTTCATAATTACGTTTAACGCTTCTTGTTTAAGACCAGTAAGCAATGCGTTTTTCTTTTCTGTAAGTTCATTGCTGAAAAGCCCCTTTCAAACACTGCAGTACTCCCAGACAGAGAAAACATCAATTCTAATAACAAGAAGTGAAAATGTATCACGAAAATTAATGGGAAAATGGCCGTCTGCGCGGACATCAGATTCGAGATATTCGTTGTCCGCGGGGAATTTTAGACTACCGAGGACGGGCGGACGGGGGCTGTTTTTCGAGCCCTGCCCTGTACCATAAACAGCATTCCTTGTTTTTGTTACTAAATATGCTTTGTTAAAGGGCAGATTGTTTTTTTTATTTATTTGTTCTTTAAATCATCAAATGAATCCATTATTCAAATCAGATGCCCTCACCTTTATCAATTTCACAGTCCCAGGTTGGTGCGCCAATGTTAAATATGATGATCTAGGGGTTTTATGGCATTACAAACACCTTTAACAAAGTTTATTTAGTAGCGAAATCAAGGAATGATGTTCATGGCACAGTGCCATAGAGTTACTTACTTACTTATCCTCTACGTGCCTTTGGGCACTTAAGGCCTCCAGCATATCCCTCCAACGCCTCCTGTCTCTAGCAATAGATCTTGCTTCCTCCTAGCCAGATATTCTACATTCTTTTAATTCGCCGAAAAACATGCGATGGATGGTAAGTCTGGGTCTTCCTCTTGTTCTTTTACCATCAGGGGCCCATGTAAGCGCAACAGATGTAATTTTTTCTATGGGCATTCTAAGGATATGTCCGAGCCAGCTCCATCTTCGTTTTTTAATTTCATCTTCTACTGTTTTCATTTTAGCTCTCTTTAATAGATTTTGATTTGATACTTTGTAAGGCCAGAAAATTTTAAAAATAAATCTTAAACAATTGTTTTGAAAGGTTTCTAATTTTTGTATTTCGATCTTAGTCTGTTTCCAAGTTTCTGCGCCATATAATAGTACTGCTCTAACAATAGCTTTGTAAACAACTATTTTTGTCTTTATTTCAATATTTGACTCTCGCCAAAACCTATGTAATCCCTTAAAAGAGTTCCATAGAGTAGAAAACAATTAATCCTTTTACGTTACTGTGCAGTGCACCACCTGCTGCATACCTGCCAACATTGGGGAAATAAAATAATGGATATTTTATTAGCGACATTTTTAGGCTACAAGTTAAGTTTTGATAAGTCATGCATAATAAGGTAAGTCAAAAAGAGAAAATCAAGAATGGAAATAATATAAGCACTTACATATAGCAAAGTAAAAAATATGCATATAAATCTTAATCTAAAGAAGTTTTGAACCATTATTTATTATTACTCAAACTATATTTTATTTCATACCTGTCGCTGCTGAACACCCGACCCAATTTTGGGCCTTAAAACTACTAATATTCAACTCCATAGCCTTGTAATTTGGAACCCAATCCAGAAGACAAGGGGACTCCTGGATCAAGCATTGAGAGAAATTTTGCCTTCGTGCTGGACTTTTTGATGTAACTAAATTACATTTGCGTTACATGGGGAGGAAGACCATGAGAACCTTCCACGGTTAGACTGACGGCAAAGGGGCTCAAACCTATGATCTGTCTACCATGGAGGATATTTCACGCCAGCACTGTGGTCGGAGCAAGCGGAATGCGAATTCATATCGATCAGCCATCACTGGGTTTCGAACTCGGTACTCAAACTATAAACATTCAACATGCTGCAGTACTGCACTATCTGTTGAGGAATAAGAAAAGTATTTTCGCCATCAGTGGACATTTTATCGCCAATTTTCAATACAGAGAAATTTGAGAATATATGGGTAAACAGGAGATAGTCATAAAATACGGGAGTCTTCATTAAAGAGCAGGAGAATTTTAGAAATTATTATTAATATTGAGAAATATTATTAACACCTTTTTCTATTAGTTTCTTGTGTAATATTTGAACAGACCCCTATGAAAGTGAATTTGTAAAATAGAAATATTTCACAGCTTTATTGTGTTTCTACGTTTTAATTTAGGATGTCTTTCCAGATGCATTTTTAAATTGCATTTTTGAGAAAATGATTTTCCACAGAGAGAGCAAATAAAAGGTTTTTCACCAGTGTGAGTTTTAATGTGCGACTTGACATTAGACATTTTAACAGATGAATATTCACAAAGACAGCAACAATGAAGAAGGCGAATACGGTTACCAATTTCAAATTTTGATGTGGTAAAAAAACGGCCTGGGTGAGAAACATCTGAAACAGAAAAATTACAATTGTGAAATAACAGGTAAATATAGATTAGCACAAAGTAATTTCACAAATTTTTTTTTTTTTATATCCCAACTTATAGCAAGAAGTAATTATGTTTAAGAAATATAATCAATAAGTATCACACTTCTTTAACATATTGCAGAATTGACATACATTTAATGTTGAAAAATGTAACTACATAAACATTTTCCTAACATAAATATAATTACACTAACATACTGAAACTATACATATTAAAAATGCATACAATCAGTAGCAAAATTAAAAGTTTTATTATAAAAGAAAATCAAGCTCTATTAAAAAATATTTTGCACTGACATCTCTACCTTGAGCTCACTAAATTATACAAATCATTTTACATTATTTGGGTATACAACAATGACCCCCCCCCCCCCCNCCCCCCCAATTTTTTTTTTTTGGAAGTCATTAGAATTTTTTAAAATGTTTTCTCTGTAGCGGTTACATTTTAAGTTATAACTTTCTTTTTCTTTACTGGCTTAACAGGCCAGGCCTTTTTAAGAAGTTTTTTTCTAGGCTAGTCTTCTACCTAAAAATATTCTCTAGTTCTTTATTTGCTCATCTTTTTCGAATTTAGTGAACCTTTTCAAGCACTTGTTGGCCTGCCATCAAAATTTTTTTTCAGAATTCTATGCATTCCCATGACCATCTGTCCATTTTATTTTCGGTTGTTTAAAGAAAATAATGTTAACTGGTACCTACCTTATATGAACAATAAAGCTTGAAATTGCAATTTTTTACACCATTTTTAAGTATTCCACTGAATATACCTCTCAAAACGTCTCATTCAAAGACCATATTCAGACCAAATATTATATAGACCAAAGATTTTGCACATAGCAGTTTTCTGAAAGAGTCATAGTCCAAAACCTTTCAATCAAAAACCATATTTAGACTAAACCAAATATAGATCAAAGATTTCTCACATAGCCCCATCTGAAAAAATCATAGTCCAAGACCTTTTGCTCAAAGATCATATTTAGACAAAAGATTTTACACATAGCTCAATCTGTAAGAGTCATAGTCCAAGTTCAAAAACTATATTTAGACCAAACCAAATGCAGACCAAAGAATTCGCACACCGCCCCATCTTTAGGAGTCATAGTCCAAGTCTCACATAATACATTATAAGTTTATTTGTATAAATTAAGAGGTTTATATTATTCTTAAAACTATAATCAAGGCAAATCAAAGTTTTATGATGTAAAAAGATTGAAAACCGTAAATAGCCTGATTTCGAATACTTACCCGGGGAAAGAGGTAAATATCAATTTATAAACATCCACATACCTATTTATAAATTATACCTATTTGTAAATATCTTATTTATAATCAGCCACAGGGTATTTACACGACTCTAATCAATATCTGTTAGGCTAAAAAATGTCATCACATAACATTGAAGCAACAAATTAGTAAAAACAAAAAATTTTTAAAACTTATTTTATTATAAAAATTTAGAAAAATTATACAGCCGATTTACAAACATAAATAAAAAATAGAATTACAGAAAAACTGAGAATTATACCATCATTTTTTATAAGAATTTCAAATTTACTCAATAAGGGATTTCAAAGCATTTTTTACACATTATTCAACAAAAATAACAATTTATATATTTGTGAATAGATTCTTTCCGTGAAGAACATTCTTAATTCAGATATTAGTATAGATCACATAGGTATTAATATTTTCATCTTCAAATAAAGTAAAATGCAGAAAAAAGAATTGAGCAAAAAATTTGCAACGGAGAATGACATTCAATTCATATACAGTAAGACCTTGCTGCAACAATATTTTGGGGACCAAATAAATATATTGTTGTAGAGGGATATATTATTATATCAAACGTCTACATACTATGGAGAGGCAATAAGATTTTTTAAAAATTCTTATGTTATAAATGTATTAACTATAAATCTAATTATATATTATATAAAAATTTAATTTGCAGAGAGGTAATTATGGCTAAATATGAAATCAGATAGGGATGTTACATCTGTGACTTAAGAGATAAGGGAGGCAATTCTAAGAGAGGAAAATCTTGGGGTTGTCTATGTACATTCAAGGAGGAGTAATTGAAATCAGAATACAAAAGCCATTCACTGTGGTAAAAAGAAATAAGATAAGTACATAATGAAATAAGATAAGATTTTACATTATTTGAAAACCAATAACAAATGGAAAAAATAAGGTTGAAATTTGAAGAAGAGAAAAAATCGTTTCACAGGGGTTTATTGCTTCAGAGAATATTGCAATATTGAGAGGTGGATAACATTAATTCATATGAAAGTTCGTGAGGACCACGAAACATTATTGCAATAGAGGGAGTTGTTGTATCGGATAGCATTGTAGCGAGAGTTTACTGAATTAAATAATTAAAAGGAACAACAATTATCAATTTGTTATTGTCACTGAACAATATTTCATAAATAACTTTCTCACTACCATATAACTTTGAAAAATAGAAAGAGTTGCAAGGGCTTTCAAAAAAATCAGCTTCAATAAGTAGCAAAGGGTAATTTAGAATGTCTTTCAATGTGTATCTTTAAATTGCTTTTTTGAGAAAATGAATTCCCACAAATAGTACACTTAAAAGGTTTTTCACCAGTGTGAGTTTTAATGTGTGCCTTAACATTAGACATTTTAAGTGAAGAATATTCACAGAGACAGCAACTATGAAGAGGGTAAATACGGTTACCAATCTGAGATTTTGTTGTTATAAAAAGATGGCTTGTGTGAGTAACATCACCATCTGCAAAAATAAAAACAAATTAGCATTGTGAAAATTTATTTTAAGATAGTCAGATTAGTACAAGGTAATTTCACAAAAAATAAATATTTTATCAGGGTGAGTAGCCAAATCTATCAACAAAAAATAAGCACCTTTTAAGAACTTAAAATACACTTTTAAGCACTACTTACATTAACAAAATGCAAAATAATCTTAAAAGACATTACATGATCATGATAAAATAACTAGTTTCTGACAAAGGACTCTTTTCTTGATTATATTAGATACCACAAAAAGATCGAGAGATTTTTTGGTTTGAAAAATGAGGGTGGAAAATGAAGCCTGAAATTGTGAATATCTTGTAAAATGCAGCAGAGTTACAGATGAGAGTGCAAGAATCTCACCGAACTCAGCTCAGCAGACGCATATGTGGACTCACAAGTATTTCACAAAAACATGCAAAATGATTGCCGTTTCCATACGCTATGGACCGACAATAGGCCAAAATGGATTGTGGTGGAATGAATTGTAAAAACGTTGAATAGAACAATGTGAAAACCACCCTTTTGCATAATACGTGCCGAAAATTGATATGGTAAAGAAGAAGAAAAAATCTTCGAAAAAGGAATATCAAGCACTTTTTAAAAACACCCTATGAAAAAGCACATTTAAGGGCTTTTAAAAAACGGAAATTGAAAATAAGCCTCTTTAAGCACTTTTAAAAAACACTATGCACCATGCTTAATACTTCACCCATTGCAACAAAAAAAGTATTTTGTACAAGAAATATAAATCAAAATATTTTTAAACATATTACAAAAATCTAATATCTAATTTTACAAAATTATTACTATCAGAAATTTTTTTATTTTTATTTTCAAGTTAATTGAAACTGTGTTTATTAAAAGAGAATGAAATCTGAAATAATAATTTAAACTGAAACCTAAAATTAAAAAGAAAATTAATAATTTGAATAAGCTGATTATAATAAATTATACAAACCTTTTTGTGTTTCTTTTTAAAATAACAAAGTCTGAAAAAAATGTTCTCTAGGGAAATTATAATTTTTTGAATTATATCTTTCACGGCTGTAACATTTAAGTTAAAGATATTTATGTTATTTCCAAAATTATAATCAAGACAAATAATTTTTTATGCATTAAAAATGACTAAAGTAACGATCCTGATTTTGGATATCTACTCAGGACTGTGGTAAATAAAATACCCATTTATAAATACCCTACCTACACATTATTAACCCAACCCACATATATGTAAGTTTCTCAGATAAATTCCATCAAAATAACCACAATATTTTCGTAGTTACATAAGTTTAGCACATTTCAATTTTGATTAATCATCTGTATCAATCAGTTAATAGCAATAAATAAAAAATTTAAAAAACAAATTTATTAGAAACATTTCATAGTGCTAACATGGAAATTTATCAAATAAAAAATAGCAATACAGAAAAACTTAAAAATATACTGTCATAAAATAATTTTTAATGTAAGTTTCAAATTTACTTTATAATTAGGATCTTTAGCTGTCAACCAACAAAAATAATAATTTAAACATTTACTAATAGAATCAAGTATTGAAAAACACAGGTAAATAAGGGACTTGGTACAGTAAATAATATTGCTTATTCATTACATTATTCAATAATAATACAATAATCGGGAAAGTCTAATATTTGACAATGAATAATAAATGAGCAGTTTACTGCAAAAATCAATTAACTCCACTTTTTAAAATACCTTAAACTTTATTGGAGCATTTAGTTCAACATTATCTTTTTAAGTTTTTAATAAATTCCCCAAATATAAAAGGTTAATAAATCAAAATAATGAAATTTTTTATTTTAAAGAGAATTTTTAAAAATTATATACACTATTTTATCACATTTTCCTCATTTTGTTTTATGGAGTTAAGTTGAACAGTAAACAGCTCATGTGCGCTTAGAGTAAAGCATTACAGCACTAATCTTATCCCTGTATAATGCAGTATATAATATAGGAGAAAATCCATTGTTTTTTTTTATTTTCATGTCGCCTATAGGAACAATTAGTGACATTAGATGAAGCTTATTAATAAGCAAATCACATGTATTTATATATCCTCAAAAAAATTAAAATTTAGCAGAAGGGAATGTTATTAAGTTTCAATAACAACCCTAGTAACAATTTTACCTTGACGGCCCCAGTTGGGTTTTCAAAATTGGCTCAATGTGGGTCCTATAAGAACATACACCGAGGGACCAATATTAAGATGCCTAGATTTTTTAATATTGGTCCTATATAGAGCCTACATTGGCTAAATAATGAATATAAAATATTGGGTGAATCTAACAATTCTATATAGGTTTGATATTGGTTATAAAGTGGCTGTAAAATATCGGGTGAATCGGAAAGTTCTATATGGGGCCAATATCTGAAAAATAAAGGCCCTTTGAACCCTTACTGAGCCAAGATTCATGAATATTGGCTGGATGAGGCCCCAAGTTATTTTGCTGCTAGGGAATTAATAAATAAAGTTATAACAACAATAACAATTCTTTTAAAAATAAAAATTTTTCTTCGTATAAAAATATATTATGTAAATTTGTAAAATTCAAATAGTTGCAAGAGCTTTGATATAATCTTTGAGCAGCTAAGTGGCTTCAATAGTGGTTATTAATGGTGCATATATATATGCTTTTTCATATTGCTTTTTTGAGAAAATGAATTCCCACAAATAGTACATTTAAAAGGTTTTTCACCAGTGTGAGTTTTAATGTGTGCCTTAACATTAGACATTTTAAGTGAAGAATATTCACAAAGACAGCAACTATGAAGAGGGTAAACAACTTTACCGATGAGAGATTTTGTTGTTATAAAAAGTTGGCGGGCAGGAGTGACACAATCTGCAAAAGTAAGAGCAAATTATAATTGTGAAGGTAAAGATAGTCAGATTAGCACAAGACATTTCCACAAAGAAAAAATATATATTTTTCTCCTTCCTCAGCAATTTAAACAATAATTTTGTAGAAGGAATATTATCAGTCAGTATCACATTATACTTTCAACCCCCGTGGCAACACGGCCGCAGAACGTTATCGAGTTCTTGCAGAAAGACTTTTTCTTTGGGAAGTAAAACATTTTAAAAAAAAAATTTCTGCAGAAATTTTCGAAGGATTTTATCTTTTCTTCAGATTTCTTCTTCTTATATTTAAAGATGCCTATCTCTCGCATCGGAGTGGGAAAAAATGCTTGCGATTTTTCTATTTTCATTTAAGAATAATAAAAAAAAATTTGGTTTTCTTTTCTGTAGAAATTTTTGTTCTATTTTTTATGCTGTTATTACTATTGATTTCCACATAGATTTTAAAATCCGATATTTTAAATGCAATATTATTTATTAAAACGACTGAATTCCGAAATGAAAACAGTCATTTTAGTAGCCCCTTTTTGAAGAGTCCGATTCACGTGATTTCGTTGTCTATCTTTTTTTTTCCGGTAGTTACTACTGCTACGGATTTCGAGATTTTTTATTAGTTCTTTTTAATGTGATGATGAATTACAATATGTGAAAAAGAAAATAGTGTGTTATCAAATATACCCTTACAAAATGTGAGAATATCCCCCATAATATAAGAGTAAAACAAATATTACATATTCAATTAAAAAAATTATTTAATTTAATCCGATTTTTTCTGTTGATGCTGACGCTTCTGTTACTTTAAATTAGTAACATGTATATTTGTTATTTTTTATAAAGTATCTTGCAGATAGATATCAGAATTAGAGAGGTATGTCACAGAAAGTCCGAAAAAATTCTGTCATTAGGCTTTCAACATGTTCAAAGCTTATTTAGAACATGTATATGTTATTGTAAAGAAAAATAATAGGTGCTGGCCTCTAAAAAATTTTACCCGCAGTTTTAAGTATCCATATAACTATTATTTTAAATAACTTTGATTTTAATTAAAATTTGCGTAATTTAATCACAATATCATTATTTATTAAATTAAATATGGGATTGCATTTAGAAACAAAATCTTTTTTTAAATTTTGCTTTTTGAAGGAAAAAAAAAAGAGGGGAAAAAATAAAATAGAAATTAATTTATAGCAGATGAAGAAAAAAAATTTTTAGCTAGGAAAAGTCATAAATGTATTAAAAATGGTTATATAAAATTATAAAACAAAATTTGAAAACACATTGCGGAGGCTACTTATAATCAAAATTAACAAACTGCCAAAGAAGTAAAAGCAACTAAACAGCTTGTGGTTATTTTATTTTGAATGATATTAAACAGATTCACTTCACAGAGAACTGATTTACAAAATTAAAGATGCAACATAACAGAATTGTAAAGTACAAAACCTTTAATTCAGAAACCAGGAAAACTTTTGAAATAGTTTTTGAGAGGATAATGGTGCTATTCAAAGTTCTCAATGAAAGTGGAAATTTCCTGTTTCAAAGTTTCTTAAAATTAATCTTATTGTAAAAATTACTATATTTTCAAAACAGCACTTAAATAGTTTTCTGTTTGGACTACATACTGTTTGACAAACACTATTGTAAAATCAAAACAGGCAATAATTGTACATTTTTATCAATATTTTCAGAATGTGGAATATATCAAATAATATTATTGCTGAGAAATATTTAGATCTACAAAAAATGTGATAAGATAAAACGATACTTTAGAGTACTTAAATACCTATACATGAAAAATCTTACAGGATTGAAATAATTAAAAAGTGAATATAACGAATGATGGTTTAAGATTGGGCAATGTAATTTTTTTTGCACATGTGGATTGATATTAAGTTCCCGTTTGAAGTTGGATTCCTCCTTTTAGATTTATAAATTATTTAAGCAAACTTAATCATAGGAACTGTGATTTCTTGTTATTTTGGAATATATATTATTATCTAGTATATAACGGATGATTAATAATGCAGAAATTGTAAAAAAAATAAGTTAACCAGAACAACATGTCTTGAAAATTCAGGACAATTGGTAATAAAAAATGAACTAAAATTTCCAATTTCTGCCCTATGCAATAAAAACTTTTTTTATGGAACTTGGAGAGCTGTTTTGTAAAACATGCCCGTTCCTGAAATTAAAATTTAAAAAAAAAAAAAAAAGAATATTCATCTAAGAGCAATAACTCTTATCATTGAAGTAGTCTCTGTTATATTTGAACGTCCGGTGGTAACGAAAAGCATAACAAATTGAAAGTAATTTTTAAATAAGGAAGATGATAACTTGAAAGTTTATTATAAGTATGCTATTAAATAATTTTTTAATTTCTATACTATAACAGTATAATAAAAATAACACGAGTAATCAGTAATTGCAAAAGCAGAATTTATAACAGAGTAGGCATACTCTTTTCTCAGACTTGAAATGTTTGCTCCTATTTCTTTATAAAAGATTTTTTTTTAATTTTGCAATAAGAGATTATGTAAAGAATATAAATTAATCAATAAGAATGTGGCATATTTTTTTTCTTCCAACTATTAAGAATTGAACAGTAAATGTTTGGGAAAATGTTACAAAAATTTGAAATCCAAATGAAATACTTCATCCAAATTTTTTGATAATTTTGATGAAATTCTTTGACTTTTCCAAATTGACAGAGCCATCCTAAAGTGGAACACTTTTGCTGGGTCTCCTATTTCTAGAATTCTAGGCACAGGGTATCTGCTACATTTTAGATTTTCCAATGCATAACTTTCCATGACTAATTCCATGAATTTTTCATGACTTAACAAAGTTACTATTTTTTCTGACAAAACAGAACAATAAATTTGAAAAGCATTATGAAAACATTAATTGAAATGATAAGTAAAACCAAAACTGTTATACTCTGCATCTTCATAGATTTTAAAATTAAAAAACAGAGTAAAGAAAGAGTTGAAGCAATAAAATAGCTGGAAAAAAAACTACAACAGCAAAATTGTTTTTTCTTTTTTTCTGCAGAATTATATTTTAAAGATACTTTTCTTGTTCATTGGAAAAGAAAGAAATACTCCTGATTTTTCTGTTCTCATTACGGAATAAAAAAAATTCACCAATGACTGGTTTGCTTCAGCTAGAATTTTAAATTGATAAAATAAAAAGAAAAGATAATAACAAAAATTCTAAAATCACAGAAGTTTAAAAGATCATTTGCTTCAGAAGTGATGTTTTTTTCTTTCATTTTTTGAAAGAACACCATAATTTTTAAAGAACATGATAAAAACATTTTATATTTTAATAAAATAGGACTGAGTGGGAATTTCGTTATAAATTCAGATATTCGGAACACAATGAAATTGGGGAGTTGGGTGGGGGTAAATTCCATTTTAAAAATTAGATTTTTTGGCAAACTAAATCCATGACTTTCTATGATTTTTTTAAAAAATAGTCAAAATCATGACAAATTTTGTTCAAAACCGAAATTCATGACTTTCCAGGAGCGGAGATACCCTGTAGCAATGATATTGAAGTTTTTTATTTAATAATTATAGAATTTTTTTTATTGTTATTTATTTTTGATATTGAAAATTTAAAAAACTGTTTTCTATTCCAATCATTTAGATATATGAAATAACCTTGACCAAGGCATAGCTCCTGTTCTTCATTTTGATTCACGCAAATAAAAGAAATAAAATAAGAAACATTTAAACATTTGTATGTGATTATTTAAGGAGGGGACATTTTAAATTTGAAATACCTAACTTCTTAAAACCCCAGAGAAGATGTTTCATTAATAAAAATTAAATAATATTTAAACTTTTCAAAGAAAATTTTAAAAATAATAATAATGATTAAATAAAATATGTTTAAGTTAGTTATTAAGGAATAACCAAAAAATAATAATAATGATTAAAATATGTTTAAGTTAGTTATTAAGTAATAACCAATTTAATAACTTAATTTTAAGTTCAGTAATAACCTTAATCTATTCTTGTGATAGAACTTATGAATAGATCAACAATTTTAATAATAAATTAGCCAAACGTTGAAGGTACACATGATCCTCGAGATCATGCGTAAAGAGAATATTTAAAAGGGTCTCAGGAAATATTTTGCCGGTGACATCAAGAAGTCTAGAGATGACTCTGAAAGTCGATTGTAGTCTGTAGACTCACTGAATAAATACAATTTTTTTTTTAAAAAAAAAAAGTTTTGTAGTTACATGAAACACAGTTTTCAAAAAGACCGAAGAAAATAAAAAAATAGGTTTAACAATGAAAAGTTTGTTAACATTCTTACCATAAATAAACATCACAACAAAATTTCAGATTTTATGCTGCCAGGATTATTATATACAGTATTCATACATCAGGGATGAGATTAGCCAAAAGGCAAAAAAGCTGAATTACCACAATCGTAAATTTTACGTAAGCGCAACCCTTTAATAATAAATTACAGACAGTTTAAGGTAATAAATAATGTGTTGACATACAATTGTGTACTAATCTATTATTATATAAATGATTACATTGCTACTTAACATTTAGTGAAAATAAAAATTACCAATTGAAAAAATAAAGCTGGAAATTATATTTTTCCTCAGTTCACATAAAAGACAATTATTACTTGAAAAACTACTTGGTTTAGCAAATTAAAACTACTGAGAATACTTTTAATAAATACTGTTATGTGATTTATAGCAAATATATCAGTAATATTACTTTTCAAATTATATTGGAAAAAAAAAATTTAAAAATGGACCGAATCATTATGTTCATATTATAGTCTAATCTAACTAGAGCCCTTTGAAACATATCAATAACAGTGAAGTAGAAATATATAGTAACTCCTTAACATACAAAAATTGCTATTTTAGTTTGAAAAATTACATGACAATCAGCAACTGTTTAGATAATTGTTTTTTATTTGATAAGAATTTTGCATTTTATAGCATAAATAACAGCAATTATAAATAAAATTTTGATGATGAGTTAATTAACTCTTTTTCCAAAAAAAAAAAATTTAAATTAAATCACTTTTTAAGTGATTGCTTTTGTTTGCTATATCTTTTATGTTTGCTATATTTAGTCGTTAGTCCATCTTCAAACATCTTGTGACAAATCCTATTTTTTCTTCTTTGCAAGCACAGAATGTAAGTTTTGAATATATTCCCTTCCAGTTTCTCTGATGTTGTAACACTTACATATACTAATAATCGTCGTTAGAAAAACAGTCACCTTTATAGTAACTAATTTTAAAAAAATTTACTTCTTACAAGAATCGCGATAGTTGATCTTAAAATTGCGTGAATATGAATAACAATTATGGATTTTGAAATCACATGAATATGAAACTAGATATACGATTTTGAAAATGAGAAAATACAAACTGGGATATAGAATTTTTAAAACGCGTAAATACAAATCACGATTCATAATTTTTAGATCGCGTAAATACGAATCATGATGCGTAATTTTTAGATTGCATAAATAAGAATTATGATGCATAATTTTTAGAATGCGTGAATGCGAATCCCAATGCCTTATTTTAAAATCACGTATAAATGCGAAAATCAATGTTTGATATTATAAACCGAATGAGCAAATCAAGACATTAATTTTAAACTTGCGTGAATACGAATCGCTATATAGGTTTTTAAAAAGGTGTAAATACGAATCACAAAATCAAATTTTTTAATCTCGTAAATAAGAATCGCAACGTACGATATTCAAGTCGCGTGAATAAGAATCGCAACACGCAAATATGAAAAGTCATGTTTGATATTAAAATCGTGTGAATAAGAATCGAGATATTAGCAGATTCCAGGCTTGGCACTTCTAAAAGGCTTGTCAGAAGCAGTGTCGTTTGAACTACAAAAATCGGATCTATCTGGAGGGCGGGTAAAAAATTCGGAAAATCTTATCTGCTGCGAGTAAAAGGGGAGAAAATAGCTATAATAAGTAAAAATGAGAAAGGACTGCTAGCTATGTAGTTTGAATTTCCTGTTTCTTTTTGAAAATCGGTAAATTTTCTGAAAAAGCGGAATACTTATAAAAAAAAAGTGAAATTTTAAAAAAATCTGAATTTTTGATTTAAAAAAAAACTGAAATTCAAGAGATAAAAGTGAAAAAAGCGGAAATCCGCTAAAAAGCGGAAAAATCTCATCCCTGATACATGAAACATTATCCTTTGAAACACAGATTAAAATTTAATTATGCATCCACTCCACCTATTAGTATCATCAGCATTAAAAATAATTATCATTCATAATAGTTAAACAATTTTTGAATTTTAAAGTAAATAATATTTTACGGTAAATGTATTTTTAAAATAACAAATATTTTTTCAGCTATAGTTGTAGCAAAATCATTTAATTTATTTTAATGTATATGACATGAGAATGAGTGATAAAAATAACATATGAAAAGTGCAGAAGGTTTAGCATATCTGGAATTAGAAAAGGAAAAAAATAAATAATCTAAAATGTGTATACCAAAAGTTCCTGCGATCTACATAACTATTACTGAGAATCTGCTTACAATTTAAACATAACTACAAATAAAACACTCCAAAAATTTGATTATATTTGGAACAACATATTTATGTGACCTGGCTTTGGCTTTTTTTGTGACTGTTCTATATGAAGTCAAAGTACTGAAAGAAATTTAATATAAAAACATTTCTCAGACTATTTTCAAGCTAAGAAACTAACACTATGGTTATTAAAAAAAAAAAACAGTATAATCGATCTTATTATACACAGTCCAGTCACATTAATGTGACCACCTTTGGCAGAGCGGACCGCTACGAGACGTGCAGGAAGAAAGTCAATTAGGTTTCTGAAAGTGTTCACTGGGATGTTGAGCCATGCCGACTCCAGTGCCGTGGCCAGCTGCGCTAGATTACGCGGTCGAGGATCCATGGCACGAACAACCCGATAGAGGTGGTCCCACAGATTCTCGATTGGGTTTAAATCCGGTGAGTTTGCCGGGCAGGGGAGTAAGATAAATTCATCCTGGTGATCTTCGAACCACGCAAATGCACTGCGAGCTGTATGACACCTCACATTGTCCTGGTGGTAGATGCCATCATTCTGAGGAAAAATCATTTGCATGTAGGGGTGGACATGGTCCGCATGGACAGATACGTGTACTTGTACTGATCCATCGTGCCTTCCACAATGATGAGTGCACCCAGTGAATGCCAGGAAAACATTCCCCAAACCATAACGCTCCCTCTTCCAGCCTGCAGCTTTCCGGCAATTGTTGCAGGGTGTTGCTTTCAGACGTTTCACGCCGCATACGCCAACGTCCATCTGTCCCATGGAGCATAAAATGTGATTAATCGGAAAAACCACCTGTTGCCGCTTTGTGGACGTCTAGTTGCGGTACTGGCGTGCAAAAATTCCAGCCTTCGTCACCGATGAACAGCAGTCAGCATAGGTTCATTAACCAGGCGTCTGCTGCAGAGGCCCATGCGCAGCAACGTTCGCTGAACAGTTGTTGAGGATGCACTCTTGGTAGCCCCTTGGTTCATCTGGAATGTCAGTTGCTCAACAGTTGCACGTCTATTCGTCTGAACGCATCTCCGCAGCCTTCATTCGCCTCTGCCATCTTTGGCCCGTGGTGCACCACATGTGCCACTCCGCTTGTTTTGTATAGTGCCATTTTGCCATGCACGGTATACTTTTACTACGGCGGTGCGTGAACAGTTCACAAAATCAGTCGTTTCCGAAATGCTTCCATCCTTGGCCCGAAAGCCAATATTCATGCCCTTTTGGACATCGGATAAATCGCTACATTTCTGCATTGTGCCAACGACTGAAATGCTTTTCGATGCCCTAGGACATTCAATATATACACTACACTGTAATGTGCTGCCACCTACACTCTGCGATTAGTTATTTCACTTTGACGTCTAAAGTAGGTGGTGGTCACATTAATGTGACTGGACTGTGTATAAAAATCATTCAGAGAAAACATTATAATACAATCTATTCATCTTATCTTTATAATTCCTTTGTATTGTTAGTCATTTTCATCTTTATGCTGTAGACCAGGGTTGCCACAGAAAAAAAATGAGCAAAATAGTTACTTTTAGTTGCTTAAAGCATGAAAAGAAGCTTAAAGCGTAAATAGGAACAAAAATTTTTCAATATGACTAAAATTTTATTAAATGACTTAATTGTCATGTACCATGATCCCTTTAGTCAAGTTATGTGGCAAATATGATAATTTTTATATAAACGTTAATGTTCTAGCACTAAATTTTTATATAAAAAAATTTTTATATTTGCAGAAAATTAAATACTTTTAATTTCTAGAATTAATTTTAAAAAATATTTTTACGTTAAAAAAAAAGTTTTTTTTTCCAAAAAATTTTTCCCTTTTACCAATTATTGATTTAGCACATATATATTGTGAAAAGTGATAACTCAAATTCGAAATTCAAGCATCATAATATCGTATTAAAAATTGGGTTTTCTAGAATCCTGCAAAATTTCAAAGCAAAAATCGTTGAAAAGGCAAGTGAGAAACAAAATAGACTGACAATGGAATCTGAGCAATTGAGATCATTAAAAAAGTGATGACTCAAATTTGCAACTCAAAATTTTCTATATATTTTACTTCTTTTTTTTTTCAAAAAAAAAAATTCGCTGTGTTTAGAAGCTCACACGGGCCGCAGGTTGTTAACCCAATTTAAGCAAAAAAACATAGCTAGGAGTACAGAAAAGTCTTCAAATAGTTTTCTTTTCCTTAAAATAGTTGCTTTTTTAGCCTTTTCAAGCATTAAAAAGTAGCCATAGTCGCCTTAGGCTGAAAATAGTTTAATAGAAAATAGATGTCTGTGGCAACTCTGTAAAACAATCAGAAAACTAGCAATACATTTTTACCAATATTTATTATAAAGCATGATAAATGAAATTATTTACTCTGAAAATAAGCCTCAAGAGCGATGTAAAGTGACTGAAAAAAGATTCATTAAAGTTGTTCAAAAAGGAGACTGCTGGCGACACAGTTTTATGAGCCCCTGGTGCACACAATTGTAACTTTTAACTGAAACTACAGTCGAATCCCATTTTAGCGAATTCCTAGAGACCGAAGCATCGCTACGCAATGAAAAAAATTCTTTATACCGATAATACGAATTATCCAAAATTATTTTGTGACAAAGGATTCTTTTGCATAAAAAATAATAAATAAAACATTTAATTACAGTTTTGATCTATTTGCAACTCTACATGTAGAAAATATCAAACCAATATTTTAAAAGCTCACAAAAACAAGTAAATTACAAGGAACAATGGATTTATTATCACTTACTTATGAGAAATGACTTAATCTGTAATTTTTTTCCATACAAATGATTTAGAGCCAGGAGGAATTACAAACTTTTCCAAATGATGAACATGTTCAAACAACTGAACTGGAACTCACAGTTTTGGAAAGCCACGTGTATTTTTACTTCTTCAAACATGAATGGTTGGAGTTCAGTCTTTTTAGGGTGGTCCCTTCCAAGTGATTCGTCTTTTTTGACATGTCCCTTTCATATTGGAAACTTTTTATTTTGAAGATGCAGAAATATTTGAATTCTGAGATCATTGTCTACTTTTGAAGAATGAAAAAGCGCTTTGACCATGAGAGAAAATGGGAATTGTTGCTCATTTTCACCTTCGTTAAATCGGATTTTGAATTTCGTAATATCAGTATTTTTAATTAATTGTTTCTATAGAGATTCATTTGGGGATTCGGAAAACATTCGTTACATTAAAATTTTCATTATTTCGGATTTCGCTAAAACGGTATTCAACTGTATTATAAATCATTAAATCACACAAAACTAAATAATAATAAAAAATTATATTTAAATTGTTCGACAGACATTGTCGATTAATCTCTGCTGAATAATTTTAAACCATAACTCAAATGTACATGCATTTGAGATAATGAGCATAGTTCAGGTTCCATGTGTAATTGCAATATGGGTTTTTAAATTAGCATTTTGATTGAATGCTTTTCCACAAATCGAGCATCTGAAAGGTTTCTCGCCTGTATGCTTAAGGGAATGTCTCTTCATGTGAGATAATTGAACAGAAGAATAATCACAGTGATTGCATTGAAATTTACGATAGGAATGCTGATCGATTGTAAATTTAACTGTAGAATACAACTCATGACTATTCCATAATAATGAACCTAAAAAAAACAACAATCAAAGTAAAAGAAGTTAAGCATCCTGAAAAGTATTAATATTAAACAAAATACTGCAATCATGATAATAACCAAAGATTTACATTGAAAAAAATAGTTAGCATGGAATAATTAAGGCACTCAAAACAAAAATAGCCCATCTTAAAATTTGAGATAAATATAGGATAGCTTAGTCCTACCATCAATATATCATATTGTACTGTGTCTACCACTACAAAAATACAATTCCAATTCACTAGTATATAAGAAATGTCAACTCGATTCTATGTTGGGGTACTTTTTCATAGATGAAGGTTGACATTGTCAATAACAACTCTCCCCACATTGGTGACCTAGATGTGATGTGAACATGCCTACTTTGATGGATTGTCCACATTGAACTTGCTACTAGTGACTGACATCGTCAGGGGTCTGTCTAGGTTTCGCTGAGAGATATCTATTTTGTGAAAATTTTGACCTAATTTGTGAAAATTAAAAATTAAATAAAAAAAATCAACACAAAAATATACATTTATTCTTTTTACGGGATACAAAAAAAAAATTTTTAAGAAAAAGTATTTTGCGAAACTACCGTTTTTCCTAAAGTTGAATTTGTGAAGGTACTACTAAACGGCAGTAAATTTGGCCTGGACAGACGGCTGATCGTCCTCCTCGCGCTGCTGCTTCTCAGTCTCAATTACACACAATAGGATCCTACACACAACAGTGAACTTAATACAGCTCTCACGACAAACTCTCAAAACTCGGTAAACTTGATACAGCACTCACCACAAGTGCTCAAAATTCGGTGAACGTAACACAGCTCTCCCGGTCTTTCGCAAATACGACAACTAGCGACATCCATTCATCGAATTCTATCACATATATTTCTGGTGGGGGAGTACAGTAGTGTGCCTACCACTACAAAAATAAAATTCCAATTCACTAGTATAAAAGACACGTCAATTTGATTCTATGTTGAGGTACCTTTTCACAGATGAAGGTTGACATTGTCAATAACAACTCTCCCCACAAAATGAGGTATTAATGAATTGGAATATACCAACTTTCCCATATTCTACCATAAGTTAAAATTGAACTTATCTCCTACCATACAAAATTAAAGGGCATTTATAACCAGCCATTCTTAATATGAGCGCCTCAATTATATTTGAAACATAGTTGTGGCTTAAAGAAAAAACGTAACTAATGTTAATGCCAGTGAGAAGATAATGTAATCAACTAATAAAAGGTCTAAATGTTATTTTTGAGAAACGAACATAGTAATAGAGGTACACTTGCTCATAGTAAATAATATAATAGCTAAGAAATAAAAAAGAATGTAATAATATAATGCATAAAGTATTTCTTATCAATAAAATATAATGCTTCTTGATTTTTTTTAATTTATAATGAATTATATCCAAAGTAACGTTGCAAATGCTGACCTACACTGTTTGCAAAATAAACATCAAGTTTAGCATAATTAAACTGATTTCAATAAAACATATTTTATTTATAAAAAAAATTCTATTAAAAAATAAAGTTTTCATATAGGGTAAAAACTCAAATAGTTCAAATTTCTAGTTATTTTAATTCAAAAAATAAATAAATATATTGGGAAAATTAAATCTTTTTTGGTATGTTTTAGCAAAAGTTAATAAATGAAAAAAACAGTTTAGAAAAATTTCTTAGTATGACTTTCTTCCAGTCATGACAATACTATTTAGAGTGTGAGGGCTAATGACAATGTAAGAAATTCCAATTTTTCTTTAAGAACACAATCTATAATAAATTTCCTTTCGAAAGTATTAATACAGAATCACAACTCGTTCAAAAAAAAAAGACATTTTAATATGAAATAAGGAAAAGATTACATTTCTGTTCATTTTCTATGACGGTTAAATACATGAGTTTTTAAGTTACCCCTTTGGGAAAATTTCTTCCCACATATGTTACATACAAAAGGTTTTTCTCCCGTATGCTTTCTTAAGTGAAGTTTCATGCATGAAGTGTCAGATGATGAATAGGAACATAAAGTGCATTTATGAACACGAGTTAAACGTCCACCAATCAATACACTCACAGAAGTATACAAAGTACTACCGGGAATCAAAGAGCCTGAAATTGCAAGAAAGATCTTAAAATTTAATAAGTAAAAATAACACACTAATAATTTTTCACTGTTTAGCTAATCTTAAAAATAAAGCATGATTTTTATAGTTTGATACATCATAAAAATAACTCATAAATTATTTAATAAATCATAAAATAACATATTAATAAATTTTTATTGTTCAGCTAATCCTAAAAATCATGCATTATTTTTAAGATTAGCTGATAAGATCATTCATCCACAGATCGTAATTTTGACCTGAATCAGAGAATGATCGATCTCCAATCCAGTACCCCCAGAGATATTGATTTTTATGGTTTAATTCATCATATTATGGTTACATTATAAAATAATTCGTAAATGATGTTTATGCATGGATTTATGCATTATAAAAATAATACATAAATAATTTTTTTATGTTTTAATAGATCAAATTAATAATACATGATCATAAAAACAAAGACAAACAAAATTTTATTCAAAAATACCTTTAAATACACAAGGATTATTTAAACAATTTAAATATTGACAACAAACTGAAAGTAATAAAAAAATATGTTAGGAAATTATACAAAGCTTGAATGAGAAAGTACATAAAATTTTTACTCCTTTCAAATGTACAACACAAGAATCTATAAATAACAAGTAATATAAATAAATAAAAATTAGAGTCAATTCTTACTAAGGTCAATAAAAAAAAAATTTTTTAGTTACTTTTTATTAAATAATAAATTTTTTTTCTCCCATAGAAAACTGAAATCAAAAAATGTAATTAAATTTATTTAATGAATTAATATTTGAAAAAAATGTATTAACATGAAGTGTCATCCACTACAAGTTTAAAAATATATATTTGAACTTGAGTGGATGAATAAAAAGCATTTTTTTAATGACTGAATATTTGAACAAGATACATAAATATAGATATAGGGAGAATTTGAACTAATAAAATTGAATTGAAAAAAAAATGGCATGTGGTATCAGGCATCTATAAAAGTATAAATTTGGTGATGTGGACCACACGTGCTACCACGTCATGTTCTTTATTGAATTTATCTGACACAGCGAATATAAAATAATTAAATATTTAAAAGTGAGCAATAAGCAATTTTTTTGCTCAAATAGAGATATAAGTTAGAAATTATTATTGATGTTATCCTTAACATATGTGAAAACTCAATCGCTTATAGTAAAATTTAAAACAATAACTAAACACTCAACCAATCAGAAAATTCCGTTTCTTTTTTTGCTCATCCCTTTTTAATTAGTGAATTAGTATTTGAAAAAACTGTATTAACATCAAGTGTCATTTTTTTTCATCACGGAAAACTGTCAATTAAGGAGACATAGGACCTTAAAAAATCATCAAGTTTTCAAAAACTGTGCTCTTTATTTAAAAAAAGAAATTTTGAGTTCACTTTTTAACCCTGTGGCAGAATTTTTATGAGCTTTCAGCGACATACCTCTCAAATACTAATATCTTTCTGCAAGATACTTAAAAATAACAAATATATGTTACTAATTTAAAGTAACAGAAGCGTTAACTTCAAAAAATAAAGAAAGAAAATCAGATCAAATAAAATAATTTTTTTTTAAAATTGAATATGCAATACTTATTTTTCTTCTAATAATTATGGGCGATATTCATACATTTTGTAGGAAGATAACACACTATTTCCTTTTTCGAAATGTAGTAATTTAATATCATATTAAAAATGTAAAAAAATTGTGAAATCTGCAGTGGTAACTATCAAAAAAATATATACAGGGTATCTGCTACATTTCAGATTTTCAAATTCATGACTAATTCCAAGAATTTTTCATGACTTAACGAAGTTGCTATTTTCTCCAACAAAAACGCAACAATAAATTAAAAAAAGCAATATAATAACATTATTCGAAATAGGCATAACCAAAACTATTATACTCTTCATCTTCATATTTAAAGATTTTAAACTTAAAAAACAGAGTAAGGAAAGAGCTGAAACAATAAAATAGCTGAAAAAAATGCAAAAGCAAAAAAAAAATTTTTTCGACAGAATTATATTCTAAAGATACTTTTTTTGTTCATCAGAAAGGAAAGAAATACTCCTGATTTTTCTGTTCATTTCAGAATTAAAAAAATTCGCCAATAACTGGTTTGCTTCAACTAGAATTTTAAATTGATAAAATTTTAAAAAAAATAATAAGACGAATTCTTAAATCACAGAAGAGAGTTTAAAGGATTATTCGCTCTAGAAATGATATTTTTTCTTTAATTTTTTTAAAGAGCGCCATAGATTTTAAAGAACATGATAAAATCATTTCATATTTAAATAAAATATGACTAAGTGGTGATTTTGTTAGAAATTCAGATATTTGGAACAGGATGAAATTGGGGGGAGGGAGATTCCATTTTAAAAATTAGATTTTTCGGAGACCTAAATCCATGACTTTCCATGATTTTTTTTTTAAAATAGTAAAAATCATGACATTTCATGAAAAATTTTGTTCAATACCGAAATTCATGACTTTCCAGGTGCGCGGATACCCTGTATATATATATATGGGTGATTCTCACGAAACATGACAATTCGGACCAAAAAATTTCTTCAAATTTAAAGTCTTCAAAATAATCTAAATTTTTTTTCTTTCATATTTTGTTAACTACACTTATTAATATCTTATAGACAGCAGTGTAGTTTATTGACATTGGCTCGAGAAAAAAAATTAAATAGAAATTCACCAAATCTTGAATACCAGGAAAATGACTTATTACCTTAGAAGTTTAAGAAACAGTCATTTTAAGTTAATAGTAAGTAACTGAACTGAAGCTTTTATGTTAGATGGACCATAAATTGCTTAAATTAATTTTTTTTATCCACTGTAGAAATAAACAAAAAAAATTTTGTTGCTGATATGTACAGAATAAAATTGCGTATAATAATCAATCATGAAAAAAATAAATAACATTGATTACATCCAAGCATATTACAATCATACATAATCTTGGTATTAGGTTAGTATTTGCTTTCCCTCTTTACAGTATTAGCAGTTAAAAAGAATTTCTGGTAGCACTTCAATGTCCTGGCATTCATAAGCCAGGAAAACGACAGCAAGGATAATGACAAATTCGCCATTTTATAGCCTATAACTTTACTTTAATATTTTGGCCGAAGACGTTTATATTCTGCAGAAAACAACAGTATTTCTTATAATAACTCTGATAAATCTACGCTGCTTTTGTTATTAATGATTTCAGGAAGCCACGAAAATGACAGCATAAAAACCTACTCATATTGAAAAAACTTTTGAAATAGATTTTGAGTCAGAAAATTGGTTCTCTATTCTTACAACTAGGCACATTCAGATAGGAGGGTATCTAATCAATATATAACATAAGATATTGATTCCTGGCGCTATCTATTTTGGTTATAAATCACTAAGTAAAAGTAGCCAGGAAAATGACAGATTTTCATGGGACAAACAAATTGTTGACAGAAAAAATTATTTTAAACGAAGTTTTAGTAAACAATACCCTCTGCGTATAATCTAGAAATGCTTACATAGGATAAGATAAAAAAAATTAGATTTTGAAAAATGTATGGGAAGTTTTGAAGCTAGTTATTATTGGAAATATTGTTTGGGACATGCCAGGAAAATGACATTTTGATATTCAATAAATTTTTTAAGTATACAAAACAGTCAATGCTAGTGCAAAGTCATTTTAAAATGCTAACAGCAATGCTATTTATTAATTTTTTATAAAAAAAAGTTCTTTTAGTATTATAGTATTAGATCTTGGAGCAAGGGACAGTGAATTGTCATGTTTCGTGAGAATCACCCATATATCAACGGCGAAATCACGCGAATCGGACTGTTCAAAAGGAGTTACTAAATGCGCATTTTCATTTCGAGATTCAGTTGTTGAATTAAATAATATCGTATTAAAAACATTGGATTTTAAAAGCAATGTGTAAATCAGTAGCAATAACTGCATGAAAAAATAGAAGGAAAACTTCTACAGAAAAGAAAACCAAATTTTTTACTTCATTATTCTTTATTTTTCATTATTCTCAAATGAAATAGAAGGGTGATTCTTTTTAAACATGACAATTCGGACAAAAACATTCCTTCAAATTTAAAGTCTTTAAAATAATCTAAAATTTTTTTTGTATACTTCCTTAGTTACCAGGGGTCTGTCTAGGTTTTTCTGAGAGGTACTTATTTTGTGAAAATTTAGACATAATTTGTGAAAAATTAAAAATTATATTAAAAAATTCAACACAAAAATATGGATTTATTGTTTCTTAAGGGATACAAAAATAAAATTTTAAGAAAAAGTATTTTGTGAAACTACCGTTTTTCCTAAAGTTGAATTTGTGAAGGTACCTCTAAACGGTAGTAAATTCGGCCTGGACAGACCCCTGGTTACACTTATTAATATCTTACAGACAGCAGTGTAGTTTATTGACATTTGCTAGAGAAAAAAAAAATAAAATAGAAATTCACCAAATTATTAAGTCATTTTAAGTTAATAGTAAGTAACTCAACTTAAGCCTTTATGCTAGACGGACCATAAATTGCTTAAATTAATTCTTTTTATCCACTGTAGAAAGAATCAAAATTTTTTTTGCTGCTGATATGTACAGAATAAAATTGTGTATAATAATCAATCATTAAATAAATAAATAACTTTGAATATATCCAAACATATTAGTACAATCATACATAAACTTGGTATTAGGTTAATATTTGCTTTCCCTCCTAACAGTATTAGCAGTTAAAAAAAATTTCTGGTAACACTTCAATGTCCTGGCATTCATCAGCCAGGAAAATGACACATTCGCCATTTTATAGCATATAACTTTAATTTAATATTTTGGCCTAAGACGTTTATATTCTGCAGAAAACAACAAGATTTCTTAAAATAACTCAGATAAATCAATGTAGTTTATGTTATTAATGATTTCAAGAAGCCAGGAAAATGACAACCCAAAAACGTACTCACCTTGACCTTGAAATTTTTTTAAAAATAGATTTTG